GTTATTTGATGTTTCAGTGCATCTACTTTATTAACAGCTTTGCTCTGAGAATTCAACATAGTTTCCATATCTTCTGTGGTATAAAAATTTACATTTCAAATAGCATAAATAACTTGCGGAATTTCCAGTGTGAGTATCTACTAACAAGCGAAATACTTCAGAATGACATTAATGAGCAACTTACCTGCTTTTTGCAGGATTTCCTTCTCTTGAATTGTATTTCTCTCTTTGACTACACTTAGATCTTCCTCCACTCTTTTCACTATACCTTTTGATTCCAGAATTTCTTGTTGTGTTCCCATAAGCTACACTTCCAAATCCTAAAATATTTATGACATTACTTCTACATTTATTACATATGTTCTTTTTTTTTTTTGTCATCTGAAAGAAATGGTTATTTTCTCTCTTGGTGTAGTTCCGTGATAGAAATCTTTCACCTACAGAGCTGGTTTAATTGCATTTTTTGCTCTTCAATACCCTTAAACTGTCTCTGCTGCTAGAATGTTTGTAATGTGGAGTCATTCCCTGAGATATAGAAGGCATCATGGTAAAGTCAACACTCATCAAAAGTTACCATCTCAAAGACATCTGACATTATCCTAAACTTGGAACAGGATATACGTCCGTTAATTTCACAACAGCTTATGCTAAAAGGTAGTGAATATTAGTTTTGTTTTATTTCCAGTTGCTGAAGTACAATAGTTTGTAACATAACCCATAATACAGATGCCTAAAAAGAGAAAAATCAGCTCCTACAGACTTTGCTGGGAATTACCTGTCCATAAATAAGGGCAAAAATTTGAACCATATTTAATGTTCTATTTCTGGATGTTCTAGTCTCAGACTCCAGATATCTAACACAACACTGCAATATTCACTCAGACAAAATTGCCGTTTGTTCCTATATGAATGTTGAGTAAAACCTCATGGGTTAAAACTAACTTGCATTTAACACTCTCTGTAGTTGAAAACTTAAAGGTAAACTTGTTCCTCTGGCATATGCCAAAATTCTTCCAAAACTAGACTGAACAGATCAGACTTAATGACTTGTCATCCTTTGTATTCTCTCTTCCACAGTAATAATAATAATAAACATGCACTAATGTAATTCCTTTCATCTACAAAGGTCTCAAACCTCCTGGCATACACTAAGGAGAAAACAGAAAATTCATCTTGCTTAAACATCAGTCCTTTTATCTTTCAAGCCTTACAATAGCTTTTCTTGCTAGTACTTACTAATGATCAGAGGTATTACTGATTAAAGAAATGTTTCTGTTTCCCAGTCTGCCATTGTCCCCAGGATTAGAAAAAAAAATGTAGTATTTAATGGCATCAGAAATAGACAATTCAGAAAGGAGAAACTTCTACTTCCTTATTTAAACTGGAAAGAAACAGAAAATAACATTGTGTCTGTTTTCCTTCTTCCAGATTTATCCTAGTCTAAGGCTATCACATTAAAGATTCAAGGCAGTATGCTCTGGTGGTATGTAAATCGACCTCATTCCATAGACTTAGAGGATCTGAAATATACAAACAGAGCATACATCCCTCAGAAAATATTTCAGTTTTAGCCAGCTGATACTGAATTTAGAAATTAAATTGCTAATGACACCACCTTATTTCCAGTTCCTATCATGTTTCACATTACTTATTCCTAAAAAACTGCATTTCTTATACGATAAATCAGAACAGTAAACCATGTGCATAAATTTTCACATTTCCATTCTTCATTTCTCCTGAATGTTACTTCAAGCACCCACAAGAAATCAGAATCTTACTTTCCCTCTTCCCCACTACCACTTCAAACTTTTACAGAGCCAGGACACTTTTCCTTACTGAAACAGGTATTATGGATTTCCCTGACTCAATTTGAAAAAAAAAAAAAAGTCCTATCTGCATCTCCGCCATTCATTATATCCTCTCAACTTTTCTGCAGAAGACAGAGGTTGTTCTGCTACAGATCTACACACTAAGAGAATGGAGTCTGAATAATGCTGGGGAAGGTGTATTCAATTCACCCTCTGATCTTGTGAAAACAAAAAGGCAGTGACTGTACTGAAGGCTGAACTCCCTCAAAGAACATCCTCAAAGAAGAGGCCCAGAACTCTGCACCATCAGCAAAATGATACTGACAGGCAAGATGTGAAGGCAGATGGTGTCTTGGAGGTCAGAGTTGACTTGGAGGAATGCAGCTGACTGGGGTGACCCTGCTCTCTACAGGATTCTGGGGTTCTCTGAGTCTGAAGGAGATAAATCTTTCACATCAGGAAACAATTATTTTTATTCTGAAATACTCCAAGCCTAGACCTTCAAGGTGTTCTCTTATCTAGCGTGCAAGATTGCTGTCATAGGGCTGGAGACAGGTCTGGTAGGTAAGTTTATGTGATGGGAAGCACCAATAGTATGAAAAGGAAGTGGAACTGTTGAGCACAGAGCATGGCTGGGTGCTTCGGCTTCAGCACAGTTCATCAGGGTCTGTCCCACACCCTGACCTCATGTACCAAATGCAGCTGGTTGGCAGACTGCCTATGATGTACCAATCTCTGAAACTGCATCTAACAGGATACAATTAAACAGGGGTTGCAGAGCTGTGTGGCAAATATATGTATGAAATCTGCACCAGCTAGGGTAGACAGCTAAAGCATGAGGTGAGAACTAATGGTGAAAGTCTCATGGCTCAGCACATAGAACTTCACAGGTGTAAAGGACACTTCATTAAATGTCACTTCGTACAAGTCACTGTTGCAAGAATCATAATACAAAGCATTTGATTCCTAACCTGCCAGGTCAGGTCTCTTATCTAACCCTGTTCATATCCATGCACTGAGTTGTTGGCAACCACAGGGGAAAAGGAGAATGTACTCTGTAAATACTCATTACTACATTACCGCCAGCTTGCTGTTCTTTTCACATTTCTGGGCAGGAAACGTGAAGCTCTGTTCAGTCAACAGTCAAATTTTACCTCACTCCTCCCTCAGGGAATACAAAGTCTAGTGTTCAAAGAGTTCTAATGAGTTACTAATCATCTTATCTCTTTAAAACTCTCAGCGCTATATCCCTCTTATTTCTCTTCTATGCCTCTAAAATTGCTTTAGCGCCTACAAAGCATTTGACTCAATATGATATTTAAAAGACCCTTCCTCTCTCAAATTTTGAAGAATTGATAATTTGCACTTTTATAGGCAAAGATAGGGATCACAGCCTCATACTCTACCTGTATTCTCTCCTTCAGCTTCTGGGAATGCTTCTTCCTCTCACTTATCTTCTGGCTTTTCTCCTCTAGGTCTGCCTCCAGCTTCTTTACCTGCTGCAGCAAAAAACTTTCTTTAGCCTCTGAGCTCTTCTTTTGCTCCATTTCTCTTTGCTGACAACTCTTCTTTGTTTCTATCATAGATTGCTGCGTAGCCTTTTTCAAAGTCTCTTCTTCTCTCTCGTAAGAGGCTTGCCGTTTGCTTGTTTTCTGAGTATAGTCTTCAGTTACTCTCTGGTTCTCACTCTTCAGGTTTCCCATCTCATTCACTAGAGCTTGTCCTTCCACACTGTACTTTTCATCTAAAAGTACTTTTTTATCTAAATTTTTTCTCCTAGATTCTTTGCATTCATTTAACAGTCCATCAGACTTGTGACTTAAATGTAGAAGCTTTTCAAAGTCTGCACTGGTATCTACCATGTCTGTAGAAAGGATTGCCTGTTCTTGTCTTGCTTCTGTTGTCAGCTCCTTCTTTTCAACCTGCTTCTTGCACAATGTTAACTCTGCCAAGGCTTCTTCCTTTAGTCTCTTGTGTTGTTCTACGGCAATTTCAAGGGCCTGAATACGTTTCCTCAGCAATTGTTCTTCTTCAACTTTGCTTTTACACTGGAGAATCGTTTCCCTTGTCTCGGCAAGAATGTGCTGAATTTCTTCTTCATGAGCCTCTCTCAGAGCCTGTATACTAGCCTCGTGTTCATCATTCTTAGCGTTCAGGGCATATATCACCTATTGAACAAGAAAAATAATAGGAAATTAAAGTATTTGGTGAATGGTAGTCATGAATTCAGTCTTTATCAAGGTGTTAAATGCAAAAAAAATCACTGCTAAATCTTGTCGTTTCTTTGTGTTGTTTTTTTTTTTCACTAGGAACGCAAGGGACAATTATAAACTGCAAAACCTTATTGGGAAGAAAGATTACACTGCAAGAATTTTTTTTTTTTTTCACTTTTTGCCAGAAATTTCCTTTTTTATTCTTGGCAAGTTGTCACTTAATGACCCTAGTTTGATCTCTAATACAAGGAATGAAATATGGCCCCTTGTCTAGCTAATTGACTCTGTAGCCCAGTTGACCTAGCCTTCAGTGCAGGAGGACTGCCTGCCATGTTGCCTTTAGCATTAGCAAGTGCTGGGGACCAGTAGTGGCAAATCTGTTGAGTGAAACCTGAAGTACTGACATCCAGTTTATGTGGACCAAAATCACTCTGTGATGTAAATGAAAGGAAAGTTTGTAAGGAGGATTAAATTTTGCACTCCTGTCTCAAACTAAAACACCACTGAAGATGCACTCCTGGAAGCCATATGCCTGGCAAGTTTGGTTGGTCAGCATTTCAAGACAGCTATTACTTGACTGCAAGCACCTTTTGGCTTGATTCTGAGAAGTGTTCGGGCAATGTTTATTTTTCCTCATCTCAGTAACAGCTATAAATCTCAGGAACCAGATTTTAGCAGATTCGAGTGAGCCTCTGATGACAATAAGCAATTTTTTCAAACAATTGATTTAAACCTTTTGATGTTTTGTGACCTTCTACAAAATAATAATTCTCGTGACTATAAAAGACAAATTATTATCCCAAGCAGGCTTCATCCCTTACCCGTGACATACACCAAAGACCTCTCACAGAAGCTGTTGTACAAGCCCTCTACTATTGTTCTGAAGAGAAAATGCTATTAGAAGCCCATAGTAGACTGAAATGAAGATTTCATTGTCAAAACTAGTAAATGTGCATGTTAAGGTTACAAGACAGTTACATATAATTGCAAAAAATAGTAACTGCCTTGAAAAGACACATGGGGGCTGATCCAGTTACTACTGGACAGTTATCTAACTCAAGGAGAACAACACATTCTGTATTAACACGTGTGGAGGTTTTCCACTTGTTTGGTTGTTTGGGCTGTTTTGTTTTTGGAGAGAAGTAATTGCTCTACACAACTAGGTTTGGAATTTGCATACAAGTTACGACAGATACTTACAGTCTGGCCTGAGCCCATAGAGGTTAATCAAAAGATTCCTAGACAACGTTTGAGAAAATAATAGTCTTAAGTACATAAATAAATACAGAAGCAAGGTCACAACTAATTATTTAATTATACTAGAATTTTGGCCCTGCAATCTTCAATCCTTCCCCAGGAAAAGCCTCAATTGAGAGACCAATAGGTGTCTTGACCACAGTAAGTGTCAGAAGTCTGTACACTGTGTTGCATAAGCCCTGAAGATATCTCCAGAATTATTGAGTTTGCTTAGCTGTGTCTAACCATTTTTGTGCTATCTGTATATGAATTACATATTGAATTTCAGTCATCCATAAATGAAAGCAAAACACAAATACATCTTGTGTGTAGTCAATTTTCTCCCTGGCAGTAATGAATTAAGTACAGAAATCTTAAAAAGTCACCAATGCAAAATATGGTCTGGATACACTTCTGGATAAGTATGTGACAAAAGAGGATAACAGAATCATATTCCAGAAGACAAGCAGACAAGAAGTCATTGTCTACATTTAGATAAGGACATTTTTCAGCCTTAGATTATATGCTGTTAATTCTTCTCTGTTATTTTTAATCATTTTTGCTTTGAAACAGAAATAGTTGAAGGATACCAAGCAGATTCCTTCTCCCGTCTAACTAAAATCATTCTATGAACCTTTCTTAACTGTTTAGGAGACAGACATAAAATCTACAAGAAGATTAATTTTGCCCACGGGTTTAGAATGACCAGTAATTAGTTTGTGCAAATCTTCAATTAAGTAGGTCAGATGTTGATGATCCCATTTCTGTGTTTCATTTCACCAGCAAAAGAGAGATGAACATCCAGCCTTTGTGACTCAAAGACCCACTATTAATGACTAATTTATCTAGTAAATCAGCACTGCCTGTCTCATACTATGCTGTGTTCAGGCTGACGGTGGAATTTCAGTTCCTCTAAAGTCTGACTTCGTTGTAGAGGTTTCCCAAATTCCACTAAGCATTACACCATCACCAACATCTTGAGCGAGCTATCTAAAAGAATGGAAGAAACTGGCTTCCCTGCTTTATTATTCCTACATGTGGCTAGTACCACAATGAAAAATTTTAACTTGAAAATGCACGCCCTCAAATTTAATCTTCAAGCTTGACAGCTGAAACTGATTCCTCAGTATCTTAACCTTCTTAAGAGATTTAATTTTTAGAGGGCTGCTGCTGCTGCACCTTAGGAAATTTAAGCCCCTCACAGCCTTTCACCCCCTACTGAATATAGCTACTATATTCCTATTCCAGATACCTCATTTAAAAAAATGGAGTTATGCAAGATGAATCTGGGACTTTATGTTCTGGAAGGAAAAATACTGAAAAATTATTTCAGCATCTGTACTCTGCAAGTGTATGTACTGCTAGCTAATGTGGTATAAACCTGTTAACAGTTGTGTTCATAAACAGCTTTTTACAAGCAGCTCTACAATTGATCAGTTTGACAATACAGACAGAATTGCTTTCAAATGAAGAGAGCACTGCATTACTCTTTGAGTTACTGACATAATACCAATGGCTACTGCCTCCTTACAGTTCTCCAAAACTGAATGCATTGGGAAACATTGTACTGATTTTAGAGCAACTGAGAGTTACATGACAGGTTGGTAAAAAATACCATTCATAGAATCATAGAATGGTTTAAGTTGGAAAGGACCATAAAGATCATCCAGTTCCAACCCCCCTGCCATGGGCCGGGACACATCCCGCTAGACCAGGCTGCTCAAAGCCCCATCCAACCTGGCCTTCAACACCTCCAGGGATGGGGTATCCACAACTTCCCTGGGCAACCTGTTCTAGTGCCCCATCACCCTCAGAGTAACCAATTTTTTCCTAATATCTTATCTAAATCTACCCTCTTCCAGTTTGAAGCCATTACCTCTCATCCTATCACTACACATCCTTGTAAAAAGTCCTTCTCCAGCTTTCTTGTAGGCCCTGGAAGGCTGCTATAAGATCTCCCCAGAGCCTTCTCTTCTCCAGGCTGAACAACCCCAACCCCCCTCATCCTGACTTCATATGAGAGGCGCTCCAGTGCTCGGATCATCTTCGTGTCCCTCCTCTGGACCTGCTCGAGCAGGACCATGTCCTTCTTATGTTGGAAGCTCCAAAGCTGGATGCAGTACTCCAGGTGGCGTCTCACCAGAGTGGAGTAGAGGGGCAGAATCACCTCTCTTGACCTGCTGGCCACAATTCTTTTGATGCAGCCCAGGATGCTGATGGCATCTCATCAACCAACATCCCAAGTCCTTCTCCTCAGGGCTGCTCTCAATCTATTCTCTGCCCAGCCTGTATTACACACATATACTTGAACATTAACATGCAGCGAATATGAATGCTAGTCTTATTTTATCCTCCAAATGCTGTAAATCTAAATGCTATTTCCCTTCTGCTTTTTTTTTTTTTATGGTGATATACAATAACAAAAAAGAAAACATTCAACTGCATTTCATTAGCGAAGACAAAGCTAAAGCATTCAAACAAAAAAAAACGGTTTTATCTTCCTACAGTAGTGTTAAACATTACTCTTGTAGCATCCTGACTATCATAATGAAAAAAATGGTTCTAGCAGGTTGCTTTACTAGCTGAATAACTGAGACAGTTTGGTATGGAAGGTGAGGACTGAGGATGATAAGAAGAATCAAAGAAAAGCAAAAGATTATAAGTGTTCTTCCTTCAGGCCCAAGCTAGTCAGTACAGATCCTTAATGACGGAGAAAGAAAAAAAAAAAGAATGAGAAAAGGCCCTGGAGGAGAGTGCCAAACAGGGTACTTCTGGCAGCACCCTAAACAAGAAAGGGAAGGAGACAAGTTGGGATTGCTAATTAGCTTGCTTCAGGCTCACTGAGGCCAGGTGACTGCATCACCTCTTTTTCACTAGCAGCAGTATCTTCACTATCAGGTGAGTTTGTTTCTATGAATTCTGTCTTGTCTACTTCCTAAGCAGACCAGAGCAGAGTGAGGTATCTAAACACGTCAACCTTAAAAGGGTGTCTTTTAAAGAAAAGGACAGAGAAATTATTAAAAGTAAGTTCAGTTACTGAAAGAAATGGCTCAATATCCTTTAGCCTGCTCTGTCACTGTAACTATTGAGACTAGAAAATAAAACCAACTCCCACAATTTATTAGTTAATACTTTAATACGTATCTTTTGTTCTTTCTAACACTGAATAAGGAAAAATGTCTTTTAATTAAGGTACAGGCCTAGGCTATGATTAGCTACAGTGCTACAATTTTACACCTATGCTGATTTCAACTGAATGATACCACTGTAACATATGATCAGGGGCCTCATGAACTAAGTCTCAAATCTCTTCTTGTGTCCTCTGTGGCTTCCGGAAAACACAAGAATGATTTTATGCATCCAAATAGTTGGAGCAACTGTTGATAACATTACCCATTGATGTGTTTATATGAGAGAAGCCTTAAAAAAACTGGCACTCCAAACATCCAGAAGTGTTTCAGAACCTAAAATTACAAACATATCTTTAAAATCACAAGGAATTCTATTTATATTTTTAAGTTTGGGGTTTTTTTAATTTGCCTTATGATTTTTTAGTATCTCAGGTGTGCCTTCAGCACCTTGCAAAATCACAACCTAAAGTAATTTATTTTCCTCTGAAATGAAAGCTCAGCTCCAGCTGAAATAACTGTTTTCAAAAGCTGAAGTTGAGGGAAGAAATACCAAAAAGTTTATTTTGCGACGTTTCATATTACAGAGCC